TATAAAGATTTTGATCAGGAAATTCACAATTTTATCATGATTCTTTGTCATGTTGGTTTTACTATTTTTAATTTTTTTTCACTATTAGTTGTCTGAGCAGTACAGCCCAACTAATTTCCCCATTTTAAAAACAATATAAGATAACAAAATATAAAACAAAAAAGAATGGCAGAAATTTCGGCTAGTGTGAGTGAAAATAAAAATGTTTTATATTTGTTATTAAAAAATAAGAACAAAGATGCACATTACAAATACACATAATATACAAATAAAACAAACAGTGCTTTATTTTTCAGGTACAGCAGGTGTATTTAGCAGTAGCATTCAAGAAACTGAATGAACAAATATATAAATAAAACGCTATGTATGCGTCACTGTATAAATTATCCTGATTCTTATTAAAGCAACTGTATTAAAGCTTTTCAGTCAAGAGCAGTAAGTGATATTTTCTGTTTTTTTGTTTTATTAACATTGACGGGATAGTTCACCCACAACTGAGAATTCTGCCAGTGACAGTGTATTTATTTCCTACTATCAAAGTCAATGGTGACCAGCAACTGTTTGGTTACCCACATTCTTCAAAATATCATCTTCTGTGTTCAGCACAAGAAAGAAATTAATACGGGCTTGGGAAATTAATCAATAGCACAATACTATATTTCTTCAAAAGCAGATTGTGGAGACATTTTAATTGTCCATGATAAAAAACACATCCCTACTGTGTGATATCGCACACCCCTACTGTTTCCCCCTCCCCCCCACTGTTATGCATTTAAAACTATTAAACCAAAAAAAAAATTGTTAATCTAAAACTGTTAAACTAAAAAAAAAAAATCTTGCCTTGGCAACTAACAGAAACAAGTTGACGTACTAAAATTACTAAAACTGAAGCTGAAATAAAAATAAAGCCAAATAGAAAACAAAATCACAAACACATTACAAAATTACTAAAACCTAAAAAAATTTAATGATTTAAAAATAATTTAAAATCAAAGTATTAATAAATACTACAATAGTATATAGTACATAACAAATATAGAATCGCAAGATTTTATATTTAATACAACTAGTGCAGCACGCTACTGTCTGTATCCATTAACTCAATAAACAGACGTTTCTGAACAGCCATCTTTATCGAGTGATTCTATAATCTGTCAACTATCAACTGTCTAAACGTTTCCTTCTATGAGCCGATGGCACTCTTGTTATTTTGTTTGTCTGGAGGCCTGAAATTTTAACAAGGAGAAATTCCACTCTTTGTTTTGAACTCTTTGTTGCTGGAAGCAAATATGCTTCAGTTTTTCTCTCAACAGTTGCAGCGCCCGCATGAGAATCTGCTAATGTGCTCAAAGAAAGCATGGACTTTAAATGTGTATTCACGCGAGCGTTCGTGACGAGCTTTCAAAAATATACCGCAGCCCACTTTCAATGGCGTAACATTTGCTGGAGCGCTCCGTTTAAACTGCAGTATGAATCAGCCGCTCGCTTGCCGGGGAGGATGTCCACATTTAGACCAGGCAAACATGAAGAGGCTTCCCTCGCTGTCTCCTCTGATTCAGCACTAAATGAAAGTCTTTCCGCACACTGTGACATCACTTGCATAGATTAGCAGCTCGCCTCGGGAAAGTGGGTAATGCTGGAGTCAAAGTCATACTGAAACTGCTTTAAAAAGTCAAAGGAGCTTTCGAGTCACCATTTGCAACATCTGTCCTGTTTTTCTATGAAGGGTTAGCTGGATGATGCCAGAATGCGTGCGCTGAATCTATTTGGACAGAACATTTTGAGGTTTGTCATTTTAGCACCTGTGTCATTTCCTGGTCAGGTAAAATGAACCTCCTTGAAAGTGAAGTGAATAATATGCTTTTACTGGACTTGAGAGCATGGGACGGAGAGAGGGGAATAGGATCGGCAAAGGACCTCAAGCCAGGAATCAATGTCGGGTCGCCGGAAGCGCAGTTGCACTCTACAGTATATTTTGACATGCTGCCTATGAGGCTATCGGCGCCAGCCGAATTGTTTTTTAAAAATAGTGTGAAATTATTATTTTTGCAATAATGTCAGATGCCACTGAAATTACACACTTTAAATTGAAAAGGATATTTCACCCAAAAATGAAAATTACCCCATGATTTTACTCAACCTTAAGCCATCCTTGGTGTATATTACTTTCCTCTTTCAGACGAATACAATCGCAGTTATATTAAAAAATGTCCTGGCTCTTCCAAGCTTTATAATGGCAGTGAATGGGTGTTGAGATTTGTAAGTTCAATAAAGTACATCCATCCATCATTAAAAAGTACTCCACGCGGCTCTGGGGTTTTAATAAAGTTCTTCTGAAGCGAATTGATGCGATTGTGTAAGAAAAATATCCATATTTAAAACTTCATAAACCGTAATCTCTAGCTTCCGCTAACTGTCGTACGCACGTACCTGAGAGAGTGGCGTTCCAGCGGATGAAGTAAGATGTTGGCGTAGCGCAAGCTCCGGTGTATATATTAGTTTTGCGAGAACCATGTTTTGTTTACAGCAAAGGAAAACCAGTCTCCTCTTGGCTTATATCGAAATCCTCCAACATTTTTCTTTACAAATCCTCATTTTGTACTTCCAGTGGCGGTTCGTGGGTTTTAAAATAGAGGCACACTAATTGTATTGGTCTGGGATCCCTGCCAATTATTATTATTATATTATTTGTTTAACCACTTTAAAATGGCTTTTTGGTTGCTTTTAGTCAGAAAACATAAAGAAAACGACATACATACAGCAAGATAATATAATTTCACTTACCTGGCCTATCACTTGAAGCAAACATCCATCCCTTCTTAAAAGTCTGTGTTAAAAGAGAGCTGCCTGTTGCGCCATTTAATTAAGCCGACTGCTGTAGCCTATATCCAGCTTATGCTGTTTTCCCTAAATTTGTATATATACTGTTTGAATGACAGCTTGGTAAATCTGTTGGCAATCAAATATTCAATATCGCTACTCATCATTAGTACTTGGTACATTATCAGCGCAGCGGGAGACGTTCAAACTATTATGTGAAATTACAAACAAAAAATACACATTCTGAGACATGAACTGAAATGAATTGTGAATTTTATTAACATTAAATCGTCCTCCTCCCATTTTCACCTCAAAATTATGGGGAAGCTGTGCCTCCCCTGACGAGCCGCCACTGTGTACTTCTAATTCGTGACCAGTGTTTTGTTTTGCTCTCTCCTCTGTGCTTTTGTGATCAATAAAAATTCTGTCACCATTTACTCACCCTCATGTCATTCCAAACCAGTACCTACTTTCTTCTGTCATCATAGGGGTTTGTACACAAAAGACGAGATTTTGATGAAAGTTTTTTGTCCATACAATATAAGTCAGTGGGGAAAGTCATTGGACCCCACTGATTTTTATTGTATGGACAAAAACAAATTCTTCAAAATATCTAAGAAAGTGTTGATTTGTTTTTGTGACCTTTTATGACATTTTCCATGTACATGACTTTACACAGGTTCAATGACTTTCTGAGGCAGAGATGTTATTTTGCTGTGGATGTCTATGGTAACCAGTGCTCAGTTACACTACCCTTCAAAAGTTTGGGGTTGGTAAGACTTTTTTAATGTTTTGAAAGTCTCTTATGCTCACGAAGGCTGCACTGAACAAAAATACAGTAAAAACATAAAAACCGTGAAATATTACAATTTAAAATAACTGTTTTCTGTTTGAATATATTATAAAATGTAATTTATTCCTGTGATGGCAAAGCTAAGTCAGCAGCAGCCATTTCTCCAGTCTTTAGTGTCATATGATCCTTCAACTATCATTCTAATATGCTCATTATGCTGCTCAAGAAACATTTCTAATTCTTATTAATGTTGAAAACAGTTGTGCTGCTTAATATTCAGGATTCTTTGATGAAATAAAAGTTAAAATGAACAGCATTTATTTGAAACATTTTAAATCTTGTAACATTATAAATGTCTTTATTGCCACTTTTGATTAATTTAATACATCTTGTCTGAATAAAAGTACTAATTTCAATCAATCAATCAATCTTATCATCTTACTGACCCCAAACTTTTGAACGGTATTGTACGTGTGCTGTACAACTAGCCAGTATAATTTATAAAATCACCAGAAGTTTGCTTTATGTAGCAAGGACTTCAGAAAGTTTGAGGAAAGCTGTTACTCATTTTGACAGGGAATAACTCATGGACACGTAAAAACGTGATTGCTTCAGGAGATGCAGAGGCAGCTGGCAGTGAAAGTTGCAAACATGATTTCAGGTGATTCATTGGCGATGATCAGCATCTGGTGGAGCAGGTAGAGTGATGAAGAGAAAGAGCAAGGGATCCCGCCTACCATCAGTACCACAGCGTCACTCAGCGCGGCCTGACTCATACAGAAGTGTAGTAGTGGGTGAGGACTATCCTGTCAAACTCCTTACATCATCAGACTCACAGTTATGACACCATAACATAACACAAGCACAAAATACTACAGGAACAAGCCATTTCTAACAACTTCCAGAGAATAGTTCTCATGTTTTTGTTCTTCAATGCATATGTGGAATTTGACCGCAGATAGAGAGAGAGAAAAAACTAAATAGACTTGTGGGTTTGATTAAAGTAATTGAGCGAATGAGATTTATAAAATGTCTGTAGACGGTAGAAGTTTTCTCAAGAAAAAAAGTAAATTAAAAACACGTGAGAATGCATAGTTGATGAGGCCTGTCTTACTCATTCCCAGAGTCCCTCTGTGTGTCATCTATAGAGAGAGGAGGCGTGGCAGGCAGTAGGATGTGTGATGACACCACCTTATGGGCACCTTTCAGAAATAGCAAACTCACCACACGCTTACACACGCTGCCCAGGCGAACATGTGGCAATGCTAAGAATAAGTGTTTAAGAGTTGAGAATGATCCATTGGAGTGTTGTGTTCCTTTCTAAGTGTTAACAAGTCCAGGAATAGATGCAGTGATGCCAGTGGGCGGATGAAGGGCTGCCCGTATGATGAGCCCACGAGACATAAGCAAGAATCTTGGTGAGTTTGATTATACAATTAATTACATTTTAAAAAGCACATTCATATTCAAAAATGAAAATCGGGACCCCAGACTTTCACTGTATGAAAAAATATTTTTTTCAAAATATGTTCCACAGAAGAAAGTAAGTCATACAGGTTTGGAACAACATGAGGGGGTGAGTGAATGATGAGTTTTCTTTTTTTAGCTTTTTAGGTTTGTGATTTTATAATGATTTTTTTTTTTTTAATATATAAATATTTTACACAATGACTTTATACATCTTGGCTCATTAGCCACAACATGCAGGTTTAAAGATGAGAAAAATATTCCAGATCTTAGTTTAAACATAGACTATATGCTACCGTTCAAAAGTTTGGAGTCAGTGCGTTTTTTTCTCTTTTATTCATAAAGTACAAATTAAATTGATCAAAAGTGACAAAGATATTTATGATATAATTTGAAATAGATACTTCTCTTTTGAACTTTCTGTTCAACAAACTGTTTTCAACATAGATAAGAAATGTTTCATGAGCACCAAATCAGCATATTACATTACATTTATGCATTCAGCAGATGCTTTTATCCAAAACGACTTTCAAAAAGAGGAACAAAACGATTTGTAAAAGCCAATAATATTAGTAGTACACAATGCCAGGTTTATAAGACAATGACAGAATGATTTCTGAAGGATCATGTGATACTGAGTAATTGCTGCTGAAAATTCAGCTTTGCCATCACAAAAACTAAAAAATATAAAATACAAAAATATTAAAATAGAAAACAGCTCAATTTTAATAATATTTCACAATGTTACTGTTTTTTTCTGTATTTTTTTGTCAAATAAATGCAGCCTTGGTGAGCATAAGAGAGTAATAACATTTCAGTATTTTTACTGTATTTTTGATCAAATAAATGCAGCCTTGGTGAGCATAAGAGACTTCTTTTAAAAACTTTTTTTTTTTTTAACACAATTTTACAGACCACAAACTTATGAATGGTTTATATGTGAGTGGTTAATAATGTTACTATATCAACCATTAAAATGTAAAATTTGCTCAGCCTTGACTTTGATTGATAGCTATCATGACTGAGTGTTTTTAAAACTTTTTAAAAGTTCAGGAGGGAAAGAGTTAGCCTGTGAGTAATGCTTGTTCACAGGAGCCAAGGAATGAAAGGTGAGATGTGCTCTAGCTCACAGACACATGTACAGTATGGAGCAGCATGCATCTGTCTGACATACACGCATTGTGGCCGACTAACAGTCCTCATTGGTCTCTGGAGGCGCGAGGTCTGAACTCCACAAACATCTGGAGAAATGCTGCGGCATGTCTGTTCTGCAGTCATGAACATTCCTGCGCTTGGCTGAATCACCTTCTGGGGTTTTATTTCTCTTAATTGTTCTATTTTTTTTAAAATCCACCTAATTTACTGTTCCTGGGATAATTGCCTGAAATAATTTTCAATGATGAGAATGTACGTATTATAACCACAAGAGGGAGTCGAGTGATGTCACTGCCATGCATCACTATGATGTAAATGTTAAAGAAACAGACATGAAATGCAAATAAATTATATTTAATAAAATGTGATTAATGTAACATTTTAGGTTCATTTAAATAGCCAGATTTTTTTTTTTACGAAACTGAAATAGGCGAATCGCTCTTATAAATGTCCTAACTGAATGATTGAATATCTTATTTGAATGTCTTTTTTTTAATGCTCATTTCATCTAGAGGAAGTGTCTCACTTCCCTCCCATGTCTTTTTCTACAAAAATCATGTCTGAATGCTGTGTGTGTGCCTAACTGAGCATGAATAAGTGACTCGGTGTATTTACACGTGTGTTATGCACACAGATAGCCATGATAATCATGTTGACCCCTCAACTTTTCCCTCCCCAGGAGATTATTCCACCACACAGTTAGCCAGACTGCACAACAGGTGCCGACGGATTGATGGCTGGAGAGATTAATGATCGGTGGAAAAAAAAGAAAGAGAGAGAGGGTAAGTGCGTAAGAGCAACTTAGATTCTCTGGAGGAAAAAAATGGTACACGTTATTGGAGGAGTCACTGAGGAGAGCGAGAGAGAGAGGGAGGGAGATGAAATTCAGTGAGTCAGTAGTGAGAAAGATTGTAATAAAGTGAGAGGGAGGGATGAAGAGGAGGAAGGTATAATTACAGACAGAGAAAGAGAGAGGGGACAAACAGTGAGAAGCCAGAGAGGGAA